ACCATGAGTTGTCATGCGACCCAAGTTTGCAGCCTGACTGATATCACTTGGACCCCATAATTTGGTTGGAGAGTACATTTGTTTTGAATTTCTGGGGCAAGTTATGCCACTGTTCGCTGCTGCTACAGGGGTGCCAGATGTCTGCTGTGGGCGTTGAGGGCGACCAGATTTTGAGTACTGCATATGGCAAACGAACGGACGTGCGAACTCTGGTGGACCTTCTGTCTTTATGTGCTGTACGACGGTATGCGTCGGTTTGCCATGTTTGAAACTCGGTCGTAATAAGTCTGGAAACTAATTAGGTAAGTTGACGTATTTGTCGTTATCGTCATGAGGTTTGACTAATAAATGTATGGAAGTCTCTTTGATATAATTCCTCTGATTTCCTTGCTGTGATCGGCAAGGACAAGTTACCTATTTCTGACGTCTACCAGTATTTTGTGGAATTGCAGAAATTCAATGCCGATTATGGGAACGAGGACGTCCGCTATGATGAAACTCCATGAAAAATTAGATTTAGAACCGAAATTTATTTGTAACCGCTTTTTTCCGTACGTCTTGATGTCAGACCTGTTTGCTGCTTGTACAGAGATGGCACCCACGGACATAGATTTAGATGAAAGGCTTAGCGAATTATCAAGTGCCATGATACGAAGAAGCAATAGTAATAATAAACTGACGATTGTAATATACAATATGAAGAAATCAAAAATAACAAAAACAAATGTATAAGACTCACCGAAAAGAAAACCTGTCACCTTGGGTTTAAATATGCGAATATACAGCAATAATTCCAAAGGAACAATGTTATGTGTGGCTTTATTATGACTATCAATGAATTGTTAATAATTGTAATAGTAATTCCAATGTGAACTTATTTATGACACGCTTGGAGAGTATACAGCAGACATTGTAGAGAAATGGTGCGTGTTCTAAAAGCGGTTCACCAAATGTTGAGGTTAGTTTCCTCTATATCTGACTCCAATAAATGATATCCCGTTAACTGAGTATTTAAGGTAGGCTAAATCTCTCAGTAGGATTAAGGATTTATTCCAGATTATTCAGAAGCCTGAACACCAATTGTAGAGATATTTTTATTGTTCAAGATAAATAAAATCCACAAGCGTACAGAGAGCAAGCACACTGGAAATCCACGAGAGTGTGTGTGTGTATGTATGTATGCGAGTTAAAAATCCATATATATATTTGAGTATCAATCAAGTGTGGATAAATTATTGATTATCTGCATGTTACAACCAATAGGAGAATAGATTAAGGATTGATGTGCAGACACACGCGCCTAATCATACACACACAGAAATTAACATGGTGAATTAAGTGTTTGAATTACAGTGAGTAGACAAATAATACAATAGTTGAATCGGCTTGATACATAAGCTCTCATCCAGAACATTGGTGTTTTGATGGTTATATTAGTTTAAACTTATAAATGAGATCATCTTCATTTGCAAATCATTAACTTCACACCATCGTAAACTACATAAAATAACTGATCATATCATCTATATCACTAATAATTGAACGGAAAATTCACTGTGTTTGATGCATATGCTCCAATGACCACTTATTGAACCGCTATTGAATCATATAAGTCATTCATAAGTTGACTAGATAGTAACTTATAATTCATCTAATAAAAATTTGAACTGTACCAATCTAGTAGAATAGTTCTATTGACATTTTAGATGGTAGTTGGAGGTAGTCAACAGGAAACCCTGGACCAGGGTTTCGTGCTACTTGGCACTCGTCAGCAAGGTGTACCTGTAATCTTGAGGTAACTGGTGCTCCCTGGCGGATTCGATCTCGTGTCACCCAGCTTCACAGTCAGTGACGTTACCACTGAGCTATCCGAGTCGCGACTAACCTTATGTAGGACTGAGATGTAATCACAATTGATTGATCACTGGGTGCTGATCAATGTCATGCTTGTCTAGTCCTTATTAGTGCAGATCGAATGCTATCGATCATGTTGCAATGTGGCCACCAGTCTAGATGATTCGACACTGAGTGAACTATGTATTGAGTAGCAAGAAACCCGGGTCCAGGGTTTCCTGTTGACTACCTCCAACTAACATCTAAAGTCTCAATACATAGTGCCCGCAGTGTCGAGTCACCTAGACTGATGGCCACATTGCAACATGATCGATAGCATTCGATCTGCACTAATAAGGACTAGACAAGCATGACATTGATCACCACCCAGTGATCAATCAATTGAGAATATTTCTATATTTATGGTACTGAATGACATTAGAAAACTGAGTTAAAATTAGTGGAAAGTTCTGCCAATTTTGATCATGAAAGTTGTGAAGATCATCTCACATTTTAATTAGTCAATTTAACCAATCCTTATAAAGCTATTTACTTCATTTTAACCAATAAGCCAGTCACAAAAGTGATCTTATTGAAAAACGATTTTAATTGCCGGTTTCATGCTAATCATCCTCAACCTAATTGTATCTACTTGACAGATCAATTAGAGGTTTCCTGACTGTTCTTTGTGGAACTTAAACGAACAACAACAATCAAATGCAAGTTATAATTGTATATCATGTGGGGTATTTCCAGGGATAACTGATGAGGGTTATCGAGGAATATTATTTGCACAACCTCCTGAATCATCACCGGGAAATTCTACAAATCAAATCACAAAAATATATTCAGGAGGACAAATAGTATAAATTTCTTCGATAATCAGATGGAGATTATAATATTACACTTTGCTGTGAGACTGATGATTTTTCTGGTGACTGTTTAACTAATTCGACTGCTTCTTTTTCAACTCAACTAGGTTATATAAATCCTTCTTATGGGAATACTGCACTTATATGACAGGTACAACTACTTTACAAATAGATTCGGAAATTCGAATACAGAGTCCCGACATTGCCGAGGATTCTTGTTTGCAATATCCTCTAACAGAGTATTTTCCACTTATTTCATCAGATAAATGATTTTTCATATCAATTCAGTAGACACAAACCAAGAACTCATACATTCTATTTTTATAATCCTACTTCTTGTCAGTCAAATGACTTTATCTGGAACTTCCTGACTGTTCGGATTTATCAAATCAGATTCACTAGGAAACTTGATATGTCGTCATTTCCTTTAGTTATCTCCTTGGAATTACTTTTCAGTTAATAAGAGTGTCTAAGATATAAATACTTTGAAATATTGGAAATTCCTATCTTGTAATGTAGAACAATTCAACATATAAGCAAACATGATTTGTCTCAGTCAGATCTTTATAAGTCATTGTTTAAATATACAGCAATATTTATATGCATATTTATTAGAATATAGTTTGTGAGATAATGATAGTGAAATAAATTAAATAGCTAAGTAATAAGTAGGAAGAAGTGAAGATTGATGTTGTGATGATAAATGTGACAACAATGTTAAGGATAATAAGGGTTTGAATTAAGGTTTCGAAATAGGAAGAAAATCATGGTTTGGTGAACAATAACTCAAATCGATTGGAGACCGAATGACATAGTAATCCCGAAAAACTATTGACATCATTAAAGCTTCTTATTACTTTCTTCTTTGTAAAAATCAACTTTTAAAAACTAGGTTAGTTGTTTCTTTGGATATAATTGTAAGGACATGGGAAACTGATATTGATATATGTGTATTCTGGAGGAAAATCTTAAGGTGGTCAGCCTCTTTCATAAAATACCTACAACAAAATGAAAGAACAACATTACACAAACAGCACAATTATCGGAAATTGAAACATCAACAACTGGAGCATTATCACAAAATCAGCAAAGACGGATAATGTTGTAGTGACTCAGATTTATCACGAGAACACGATTGGTTTAATAAAAACAATTATTATTATAACCAACTATACCAGTGTTTGTTTTAACGTGCTTTTGTTTGACTGTGCTAATGACAGCTATATTGTACTTCCATTCTTATTCCCACACTTCGACTGTAACTTCGCGCGAATTCGGTTACGTTCTGTAACCAAAGTTGTATCCTGGCACGATCTCGGTATCCTCTCGATGCCACGAGATCGCCAGCAAATATAACTCGACTTGGTCCATTACTTGCCTTCTGATATTTGGCGTCTCGGAGATTTTATGGGTTTCTTTGGTTACGTCCAACCTTCGCCTTCTGATTAACTTGGCACGTGTTTCTTGGTAGCGGTGTTCATAGTCAACCGCGACTCGACACCACGCTACAATGTATAAGACATGGCATCCATGATTACTTACAAAAATGGTGTAGCTAAAACTCCTACCGTTAACGTGACCAAAGGTGGGAAATTCAGAACTCACTACGGCAATCACTTGTCTTATTAGAATTTGTAAAAGAGGTATAAGAATGATAAGTATAGGGGATTTGTCGACATTGTAGCATTTTCATATTTATGTGACGGACTGATCTTAGCTAGATCATCATTGGAAACCTGAAAGTACTGGACGAACATTTCGTGTCAGTATAGGAATCCTCAGCAGTGGATATCCACGACACTTCACGTGACAATCAAACTCAGGACCTCTATGCTAATAATAAACATGTGTTCACTAGTGATCAGATTTAAGATGTAACTCCAGGAATTCTAGTGTATACTCACAATAATAATAATAATAATAATAATAATAATCAAACTTTGAAGTGATGAACACTGATTCATGTGTTGAAGATGAGACATCGGAGAAGAATGTTATTGAATTAACTAATAAACTTTTGAACTTCTTAAAAGCCTCTAAAAAATGTTTCTATAATCATAATACTGGCTGATAATTTCAAAATAACCTGGAACAGATGAAAAATCTATTTGGTTTATGCCATGAAAATCTGTCGACATTGTGAAGGCCAGTTGTTTGTTTCTTTCGACTAACTTGACCAATCCTCTTACTGTTACATTTTCATTTCAGCCAATTGACTCATCACACTAGTGACCTAGACGAAACAAAAATCAATCTATTAACAGTTTTTGTGCACAACACACTCACTCTAAGTATATCAGATTAATAGATGGATTTAGATTTCTCTTATCTCTCTTTGGTGGATAGCTCAAATGAGACTCAACAATCTAATACAAATTATCTAGGTAAATCTCCATTCGAACATGCTTGTTTATAGATAGGAAGCTCAATAAATTCAAATAAAACTGAATATAATATGGATGGAAAAATTGAAACTACGTTGTGTGAATTTTCCGGACAATCAGACACAAACTTTAATAAGACACCTTTGAGTGTACCTAGGGTTTTTCCAAATGTTCCTCTGCTTGCATCATGTCAGTTTAATGACTTTTTTGGAACTTCCAGAGTATTTGGATATGGTGAATCAGTTCCATACGAAGATATAGTAAGTTGTTATATGCATAAGTGATTTCGTCTGGATGACTTTTCAAGTCATTCTCGTTGATTATTCTGTTCATTATTTATTCATGCATTTTTGATTAGCAATTGAAATTCACTATACTGAATATCCATCTAGTCTAGAAATACTTTGATTACTATTGTGTTTATGACTTATTAACTTTGGTATTTCCAATAGCCGTTGTGTTCGTTTACATCAATTCCAAACTCCACATTTCCATAGATTTTGATTCATGGAAACTTATTTTCAGTCGGTCAATTATTTATTCTATACAGTGGTTAAGAAATGATGAAAATATAAATTTCACTATGTGAGGCTTTTCAGAATAATACAAACTGAAATCCTACAAGAACTCACAATATCTCATCTCTCTCTCTAAATAAATAATTATTTAGAGAGACTCCGTAGATTTCGATAGTTATTTCAGTGTAATTGTGAACTTCTAATAAATCTTAATAGTTGAATTCGTGAGACGATCTAAGCTAGACCGCTATTCAAAACCTGGAAACACAGGACGATCGTTTCGTCGTAGTATGGAGACAGTTAGTTACCTCAGACAACGGATGAAGAGCTGCACAATATCATGGATCGATTGATGTTAGACAAGACCACCGTTGACTGTCGGCTCAGTGATCTAGAAGTGAAGCGTTCGCACGCGAGACCGAAGGTCCTATGTTCCAGTGCAGTGCGCGGGATAGTGGATGCGCACTATTGAGGTGTCCCATACTAAGATGAAACGGCCCATCAGTACTTACAAAATCGCAATGGTGGTTTAGCTTAGATCAACTTATGAATTCAACTGTCAAGATTGATGCATTCTCCACAAATCCCCATTCCGATTTTAATGAATCCTTCAAAGTAGGCATATCTGTACAAACATACCATGCTGCTAAATAATTCTTAATTAACGGTTAACAGTCATCTGATGAATACTATTCCACTGAACAGTGTTTGTAATGGGTGTTCGGATTATGGATGATATCAGTCAACTGATATCAAATGTTAAAACGTATGTATATGTTTACTTATATCGATAGGTTATTTGAGGTTTATATCGAGGAAATCATTTTTCATTTCTGAAACTGGAGTGCTTCATTTAATTCCCTACAGTTAGTAATTTAGTTATTTACATTATATTAATACCTTCATTTATGTCAAATAGATCACTGATAACTTTTGTTACATTTTACCACAATTTCCATTTCTCCATCTTACGAAAACTTGGAAGCACTACACGGTCTTTTCGTCCTGCTAAAATGTCTCATACTTGGATGAAACGGCCGTCCAGTGTTTTCCATTTTCTAGGGTGCTCTAAATTAAACCAACTCATGAATTCAACCATTAAATTATTATTATTACTATTTTGAACAAGGAAAGTGAATTGAATGAATTTTCAGTTAGAAGAATGGTTCATAAATATAAGGGTTAATTAAAAACCTCAAGTATTTTTAAGTCCTTTAGCATGCACAAGTTACTTTCCAAAATACGTCACTGTACTATCGTGCTTCTTTTTTTCAGTGAGTTTACATTATTGTGGAATCACTTCATCTAAATACGTTGAATATTTTTTTAGGTAAACAGTAATAATTTGATATATATCAACACTATTGCAGATTATTTGATTTAAACAATCCTACGTTGTAGCTGACTGACATTTTACTTATTTGTCAATATCCATTCACCTTGATCTTAGATGAAACAAACTCTTACTGTTGAACCGGGTTTCACTGTTGAACATGATTGCGAACATTGGGGGAATCATATATGGAAATATTCGGTAACTCAGTGGAGAATTATAGAAGTTGTTCAACGTATAGCAATTCTACAAAAATATAGATCACTGTACGGAAAGAATTTACCTACCAAATTGATTTGTAAATTAATTGGATTTTTTAAAGATTGTTTGATTCTACAATTTACTTACTTGTAAATATCCATTCTTCTAATGTTAGATGAAACCAACATTAACACCTAAAGAAAATTTCTGTGTTAAACGTGACTGTGAACGTTTAATGAATGCTCTGGATAGATTAAAGATCAGAGAAAGAGAAACGGTTGAAGTAATGGGTCGTCGATCTGTTGTTCAACGTATAGCGATTCTAAAAAAATTTAAATCTCTGTATAAGGACAATTTATTCGCCATATTTAATTCTATATTAACCGGATGTTTAAAAGATTGTTTGATTGCGTTGTGCTATACACCAGCAGAATTTGATGCAATAGAACTTCATAGAGCAATGAGAGGAACTGATACTGATGAGGATACAATAATTGAAATTCTTTGTACAAGAACAAACGAACAAATCAAAAGAATTAAGAATGTTTATCCAAAATGTAAGTTGTTAGTTAATAAAATCATGAATTATTTATAGTGAAGATTGGTCATCATAAATTTGGTTAAACTGAAGAATCATTGAGAATACAAGGAATAACATAAATCTAGTTTTTACTATTTTACAATACATTGGTAGTTTGCATAAACAAACCTTCAAGAAACCAGGGATTCTAGGTCTATTAGCCATAGCTATCAACTTTAAGCTAATGGGTTAGAATCCAGTTGTCCACAGTTCTAAATAAAAGCTCTGTTTATATTTTATATTTCAGGGTTACATTAATTGAATAAACAATAATCTTTATCTAAATTAAGGATTATAATCAAATGAAAATATTTCACTTCTATAATGTACCTTTAATGTTATCCATCTAACCAAATGGGTCTATGGTAGCCATTTCAATATATTTCATTTTGCCAAGGAGAAATACCCTGACATCAACACTTGAAAAATTACCAACTGCTACTATTGTGAAGCAAACTTATTCCTTACGCAACTCCATGAGTTGACTTGGAAAGTAATAATGATGTACGCAATTGGAATAGAAGATGTAAATTTCATTTTATTTCGAACATGTCAAGTAGATATACATATATCTCATTTTTCATGTTCACACTGTGATTATAGTTCAAAACTTGTTTCAATGTGAAAACAAACAGTGGAATTCAGGAATGTTCACCTAATGAGTCTCATGTAGGAAGAAGGGAACCGCGTGGACTACACTGTAGTCACAATTCATATTTGATAAGAAAGAAAGAATGAATGAATGACTATTTGAAAGATTCATTCAGACTGATTTAATAGATTGATCAATTATAAATCCCATTATGAACAATCAAAATTACAATCCCCTAAAAATACTATAATCTGGAAATACTAACTGTTTCTAAAGTTGATATTAAAATCCTTAATATTCATGGAAAACCAAGTTGTTTCTCAGAGAAATTAAATGTTACAAAGGTTGAAAATTCAATTTGTCTACCCATTATCAGAAGGGGGTGTTCTAGATATTATAGTAATTTTCATAGTTGAGATCATGAATCAACTGAAGGTGGACCACCATGGAAAACTTAGAAGCACTGGGTGACCGTTTTCTCCTAATGTGGGATCCTCGGCAGTGCGTATCCTCGATCCCGCCTCGCAGATTTCGAACCCAGAACCTATCAACGTAGCTTCAATTGACTCATGATCTCGACTATTGAAAATACTATAATATCCACAAAAATCCCTTCTGATATTAATCAAAATATGCTCACTAGTGATTGGCTTCAAGAGGTATTTCCTGGAGTTCTAGTGAGAAGCAGTGACCGGTGGAGTTCAACCGGGTTTTTTGTGAGATAGTAACTGACTGAAGACAATGGTGGATGTGTCGCTCAATTTCGTGGATTAGTTGAAGTTTGACATTAACAACATTGGATGCCGGCCGGCTCAGTGATCTAGAGGTTAAGCACTCACGAAGCGGGATCGTGGATGCACACTGCCGAGGAGTCTCATATTAGGACAAAACGGTCATCCAGTGCTTCCAGGTTTTCCGTGGTGGTCTAGCTTCAAATGACTCATCATCTCAACTCTTGAAATTACATATTATCAGCATACTTTAACATAATTTCTATGGTCAACATTGTTTATTTTAAAATAATGAGTAATCGTTTCCAAACTATGTAGATCTTCACACAAATACAATCAAGTAACCATGTTGTGTTTATTGAGAAAACCTCTTTGAAATGAATTTCTTAAAGTTCTAAGATGGTTAGATTTATGCTTTAGAAGGAATTTATTGTGGTACGATAGATCGGAACTACTTACTTCTCTATACATAACTCATTCTCATCCCATCACATTGAATATTTCAATTTATTTACCAATTAGTGTCATATAGATTTATAGATGTAAAATGTGTATTCACGATATATCACTGTTTGACACTTGAATGTATATTCGTTCTCTTTATTGGTCAATATTACCAATTCAAATCTATTCATTAGATACTAATTGTGTATGCCATTGAACAAACTGATAGATACATGTTAATTTTTATCGGCGTCTGTTCATTTGTACTGTAGTAAATAAGGATACAACTGGGGACAATCGGATGTATTGGAACACAACATAACAGAACAACTTAGTAAAATCTCAGAACCATACAATAAACACTTCATTTGCAAAATGTCGATCAATCATCTCATACTTCACTGTCCCTTCATTTCCACAGGAATCATTCTCCTATCTTGTTCACTTTTCTTCAATCTTCTTAACTTTCTGTTGTCAGCTATTTCACTTTCGATTGATGATACATACTACTCATATCTGTTGACATCAGTAGCACACACCACAGTACTTCTTGGATTATCAGAAATTATGTAGCTCTAAGATCCTCATAATTTACATTATGAATTTTTGAAAGTTTGTGTATTTCATTTGCTTTGTATTTCGAAATCACTTTAATCTATTTCGTCCAAAAATTGAGCAAAATCTGATCATAATCCTGTTTAAAGATTTATGATATTACAAGTCTACTGAAATTGAATGAATCAAAGCAGATTGAAATCTATGATTCAGTAGATAAAATTTAAATGGTTCAACTATTATTTCACTGTTCCACGTCAATTATGAACTGTACATGATTTGTTTAACTAGTTTATTGTTGATTATGCTGGAGAGATCCATAAAATCCTTCGGAGAAAGCCAAAACAGGCTCTGAAAACGTTGAGAAAACCTCTTATCTAATCAACATTCAATAACAGTTTTTCCAGAAACATTTAAAAATTGAAAATTCACATGCCGTGTTTCTAATTGGATCATTACCTATACTGCTATTATGTTTAATAGAGCCCCAGTATTTTCTGAAAAACAAGGCCATATAGAATGCTATAAATAAATATCCTAGAGTTTCTGTACATAAACAGACCTTTGAAGTAAAACGTTTTGTTCCATATTTCTCATCTTTTCTTTCGTGTTCGAATTGCTATATAGATTTAGCCTGGGCGTTATTAGAGAGCTTAGGAAATCGAATCTAGCGTTCAATTAAAACACTTATCAGATTATTTAAGAAGCCTGTCATATAGTTATATTATTTTTGTTTACTTAATTAATCGTTCATCAAAATAGTGACCATATATAGCAATGAAAGCATTCATTAGTTTAAATATACTTAACTTTTTAAAAATAGCTCTTTTCATATTCTATTTATCTAGGTCAATATGAAAGAAGATTAGTATAGTATTCTGTAAACAGTAGTATTCTTAACTGACAGTTGGTATATAATATTAGCTTTTTCTTATTACACTAAAACATTTGAAATACCATAGTTATTGACCAGTTGGTTCAACCTTTAGCTCTAACGTAAATGTATGCATTGCTTTTGTAGGTCTATACCTAAAGATATTCAATGATTATTTAATTATAACGAGATAACAGAAATGTAAATCATTGAATATCACTTATGTGGTATAAAGTTGAAGAACTTGCCACGATGCCTGAAAACCATGAGTCTGACAAGTGATATGATTATGAATGCGTACTGCAGAAAAGTCTCACATATTGGTGAAAAAGCTGTACACTAAATATAGGTTTCAATCTACTGCGTCAGAGAACAAACCAGAACCCAGAGGAAGAAAAGATAAAAAGAAGAACTGGAAGTAGATAGGACACAAATTGAGGAAAGCAACGAACTGTGTCACAACGCAAGTCCTCACATGGAATCCTCTAGACCAAAGGAGAAGAGGAAGACCAAAGAACACTGCACCGAGAAATGGAGACAGACATGGTAAGAATGAACAAGAATTGGATAGAACTAGAAAGGAAGGCCCAGTACAGAGTGGGTTGGAGAATGCTGGTTGATGGCATATGCTCCATTGGGAGTAACAGGCGTGCGTAAGTAAGTAAGTAAAAATAGGCTTTCAATACTGATTTAGCTGATGTCAGTCAGTCATGTAAACGATAGACAATTTTTTCGCTTTTTAAATAATAACTACGTTTTTTCGTTAAATTTAAGTATTCTATGGACGTGATTTAGAAGATGATGTGAACGATGATACTGAACATCCTTTTAAATCAATATATATAGCTTTACTAAAAGCGAATAGAGATGAATTCACATTTATAGATGGAAATCTTGTACGAAGAGATGTGGAAGAACTACTTAGAGCAATGAAACAAGACATTAGGATTGATGAATCAAAGTAAGTGTACTGTTTTTACTATGCCGGAATAAATATTAGACAAAAGTGAACTTTCGGAACTATCCAACTGAAGCTATTATTGATGTTTTCGCTGTACTCTTATTAAATACTTAAGCTGTTACATTCTTACACTCCTCCACTTTTGTTTGACGCAGTAAACATTGTTTTGTCTTTTACATTTCCCAAAGTTATTGTTAATTCATTACAAACCTATTACTCAGTTCCTTCCCATTTATGGTGCAGTTGTGCTCATATTGTAAATTCCTAATTCTGTTGATGTGTTGTCACGATTTTGCTCTATATTACTCTATGAGTGATCCAAAAAATTCTAACTGTTTAGTTGGAGGTCATCTGTCTGCTGAGTTGTTTTTTCTTTGTGACTATCTGGGGAGTAAACTTGGGAAACTGCATTCCGGACAAATAGTCATTCAGTTGTTATCTCACATTTAGCGTATCATCCGTTAACCTGATGTAATTAGTACTAGACGGCAATCTAAATGAACTAATCAATACATGGACCAGATCAATGCAACTACTTTCTTGTCTTACAGTTCGGTCATTCAAGCTCTAAATAACTGAACAAAGATATCTGTTTATTCTCCTCCAACACATTAGTTTTACTTTGCAGATATACTAGTATGATTTATTGATCCTACATAGCTCTTACTTAGTTTGTGAAATTCGCATTGAAAGAGAATTCCATTTTATAAACAGAACTGTTGTGACTTATCATAAATAATTGTGTTTGTGTGAGGATTCCACTTTCACTCACTTGTTTGCTTCTGGAATAGGTTTAAGTCTCAATTATTTCACTATAAAT